TTGATTGCCAATATTTCAACGAATAAAACTTCAGTGGTTTGCCACTGTAGATTTAGAACAAAACGGCTTTTGTTTTATTAGCATATCATGATCGTCAGATTTAAAAACCTTCAAAAATGTACCCCCCCACACACACACACCACACACACACCACACACACACACACACACACACACGTACAAAGACATACACGCACACAAACAAACACGTATTATCTATCAAATAAAATAACTTCATTACATGTGCTCGATCGAACGTTTTATTTTCAGATAACTGAAACCACATTCTGATGAAGAACAAATTGAAGAGAGATTACTACAAGCGTGTGTGCGCTATGTATAAAGAGGGACAGTGACAAAGAGAGACAAAGAAAGAAAGAAAGATAGAAAGAAAGAGAGACAAAGAGATAGAACCAGAAAAAGATAGAAACAACGAAAGAGAAAAGGCGAGACAATAGGAAACAGAAAGAAAGAAAAACAGAGAGAGAGAGAGAAAGAGAGAAGAAGGGAGGAAAAGGAAAAGAGAGAGAGAGAGAGAGAGAGAGAGAGAATGAAAGAGAAACATAAATCCAGCGTATTGTAACATGGAAGAATGGTGTTCTAATTGACAGTTCTTCTACATTGAAATGGCATGATGAATGAAATCTGTCGTGATTGATGGGCTGCTTAATTTTTTTTTAAATTTAATAGCTGTTGTTGTGTTTTTTTTTGATATTGTTATTTTTGTTATTGTTGTAGAGGTTGTTGTAGTTGTGTTGTTTTGTTGATGTTTTTAAAGAATCGTCCAAATTTTATTTTTACTTCTTAATGTTGGTTAATGATTTGCTGCTTTCAAATTACTATCTATGATAAGTTTTTAATTAATTTTTTGTGTTAATCCATTACAGTATTATTGTTGTTATTGTCATTGTTGTTGTCATTATTGTCGTCGATGCTGTTGTTGTTATTGTTAGTGTCATTCATGTTTTGCTGTTATTGTCAATGATGCAAGTTCATTCTGACCAGCATGTTTTTTTATCGCTGTCTCCTTTTGGATCACAAACACAACGGTTAAGATAGGAATATTTTTCATCGGCATGTTGTTGGTTAGCTGTTTTGGAGCGTTAGATGTGTAATGTGTGTGTGTGTGTGTGTGTTACGTGTATGTGTGAGTGTGTGTGTGTTACATGTATGTGTGAGTGTGTATGCTAACCTGTATGTGTAATTTGTGTGTGTGTGTGAGTGTGTGTGCTAACCTGTATGTGTGTGTGTGTGTGTGTGTGTGTGTATGTGTGAGTGTTACATGTATATGTGAATGTGTGTGTGTTAGGTGTATGTGTAAATGTGGTGTACAAAATGAAAATTAGAAAAATTTTTTTTGTGATTTTAGCTGGAATACAAGATGGCATGGAAATATGGAATGTTCTGTCGGTAGATTTTGATTGAACGACGATTCAACAGTTTATTTGTTAAAAGTTTTATCCAGTTTTAAAATTTTTTAAAGGAAGAATAATCCTTTTTTAGTTAAAAAAAAATTTAATTTAAAGAGCCCTTGAGTCGGTAGTGACAGTTATGTGTGTGTGTTGTGTGTGTGTAATGTATGTGGTGGGATGTGTACTGTGTGTGGTGTGTGTGTGTGTTTGTGTGTGTGTGTGTGTGTGTGGTGGGGTGTAATGTGTGTGTTTGTGTAGTAGGGTGGGTGTGTAATGTGTGTGTTTTGTGTGTGTGTGTGTGTGTGTGTGTGTGTGTGTGTGGATTCACACCTATTCACACACGCCACATGTGTGTGCTGTTGATACCTCTGAGAGTTTATTAAAAAAGAATAGTAAAAAAAAACAAAAAAAAAATATCATTAAAGTAAAGACCCGAGCGTGCAAAGTTGTTTCTAATGTTTGTAGCCGGTACAACAGCAGCCACACAACTACACAACTGAAAACTTGTCGCTCGTCACCGGCGACAAAACAATCTGACAGACAGGCGATTCTTTATGACGATAGTACATTCAATGAAATAACAATTATTAAACCGTTACTACATAAACAACACCGTCAACAACTATTGCTTATACTACCACTACTGCTAATACAACTACAGCTACTGATGCAGCTGCTACTACGATTACTGCTGCTACTGCTACTACTGCTGCTGTTACTACTACTACAGCTTCTACTTCTACCACTACAGCTGCTACTACTACTGCTGCTACCGTTACAATAATTAAACAAATAATAATAAATATAATTTTAAAAGCCTGTAATAAAAAAGCTTCTACTTCTACTACTACAGCTGCTACTACTACTACTGCTACCGTTACAATAATTAAACAAATAATAATAAAAATAATTTTAAAAGCCTGTAATAAAAAATAATAAAAATAACAAAATTATAGGCATCGATATAATTATAGAGAGAGAGAGAGAGAGAGAGAGAGAGAGAGAGAGACAGAGAGAGAAAAGAGAGATAGAAATGTAAAGAAGAAAAATTTGAGTTATTTAGCTGGCAGTTTATACGAAATTCGAATGGTATTATATATTATATTATATACATTGGGTATTATGTTGTATACATAAACTGTATATATATATATATATTTGTATATATATACTGTATATATATATTATATATGTTATATATATATATATATATATTATACAGACATAATTATACTGTAATATGGTAAGTTACAAAATGATGGCTGCATTGAGATGAATATGTGATGTTGGTGTTAATGCTTGTGAGTGTGTGTGTATGTAAAGGGTTAGTATGTATGTGTATTTATGTATGTGTGTATGTTTGTATGTGTGCAAGTTTGTATGTAAATATGTGTAAGTTTGTATGTGTGTGTGTGTACACACAAGCAGGCTGTATGTGTAGCGGTGTCTTTTCCTCTCATTATAATATTTATTCATCATTGGCTTGGATGTCATTGCGTTAGAAAATGTACTTGGCTGTTGCTTGTTTGTATACCATCAGCTGTCAAACACACACGCACACACGTACGCATACACAGACATAGGCACACATACACACAAATATATGTGGTTATAATTATATATATATATATATATATATACAAATAATTATGTGCACGTGTGTACGTGCCGATTGAAATCGTCATCTGAATAACTTAACGCTTGACAATGACAGCACGACAATATGTAAATATTGTATGTACGTGTGTGTGTGTGTGTGTGTGTATGTGTGTGCGTGTGTGCGTGTGTGTATTTTATTTGCAGTTGCATTAAATTCATAATTAGAGTAAATAAGCATATATAAATGGAATTCGCATAGAAAATTTAATATAGTAATGACGTCACGCATGAAATAATTTAACATGTGTTGAAATTTCATCGTTCAAAATTATTTATTTGTTTTTATTGTTGTTTTAATAATATATGTATAATATATATATATTATTATAACAATAATTTAATAATAATAAATAATACATTTTTATTATAGTTCTATGCTATGCTTCTGTTCGATTTATATAAGTTTTAATAATATTACTGCTAATATTATTTCCATTATTATTAATGATGCTATTATTATTAATATAGTAATTATTATAATTGCCAAACTATTCACAAAAATCTTATTAAATGGTATTTCATAATCAAATTCAATTAAACTTAATTAAATTTAATTAATTATTTATTTATTTATTCATATTATTTAATTAATGAGACGAACACCACACACCGCATGGCATGTCTCTATCTGTACATAGATCAAAAGTTAGGTGTTGGATGGCTGACGTTTACTGCTGAATTTCTATAAACAACTTGATTCATTCACACGTTTGATGGCGTTTCCTTTGAATGGCTTTCCAAAATTTTAATTAATTTCAATTTGTTTTAATTTTTTAAATTTACCAAATATATGCGGTGCGGTGTGATATCATACAGGACCAGCTGGTTTATTGAAACGTTAAAATGAGATAGTGAGCAAATGAATGCATATAGATTAATTGTGTGTGAGTGTAAGTGTGTGTGGTGTGTGTGCGTGTGCTTGTGTGTGTGTGGTGTGTTTCATCAATCAACAAAATGATTAATTAGTCCAATAGGCATCTTTTCTTTTGCAATATGGATATTTCTCTTTTTATAATTAATGACACCATTGTTTGTGTAAATAATTTATTTTGCATCTAAAATAATAAACTCTAATGAAAACCAGAAGCGCCAAACAGCATTCTATGAGATGAGGACTTAGGTTATGAAAATATTTTGAACTGCTAAATAAGTGACGGAAAAATGAAATTAATTAATCAATGTATCTGACAATGAGTTAAGATCACGTTCTAGCAATATTTCATTCAAATAAATTAAATTATTGAAATTAATATTTTGTTGAAAGTTTACACGTTCAATGGTACGGAACATATGATGAATAAACTCTTTTTTAAAGTATAAATGGCTGTACAAATGCGAAAATAATTATAGATATGCTATAATGAATGCACTCCAACACGAGCAGACCAACTTCCAGTTATAATTCATTTGTTCCATCCTCAAACACCATTTAGGCTCTGTCTTATTTATAATACTCAACTTTTCAACTGCGTCTAGAGAAAGTTTAAACATTGAATTGCCCAATCGTTTAGTAGAAATTCTGTTGGACTGGAGCTCGCAAAGGCAACATCACTCAAGATGTTTTGAGAGTAACACCGATCCACATGTTACGAGAACGAGTTAGGTTTCGTCAGACTTCTGCTCTGCATCAGTTTCAACAACAACAGCAGCAACAACAACACTCGCAAAATGTAGCAACAGTAACAGCATGCAAGATTATAACGCAAGAACTTCCGACAATTATTACAGTTACCTTTTTGCTGAAAACGTTCTCGTCCAAGTTCAATAATTATGGACAGAGAATAATGAAAATATAATAAATAAAAGAAGAAGTGAACAACAAACTAAACAAAAAAAACAAATTTGTAGTAAAAAATGAACAAAAAAGAAAATAAAATGATAAAAATAGATCACAAATAGAAATTTGTTTACATAAAGCGAGGTTGAAATTTGATAGGCTGGTACTTGGTGTAGCTCGATTGTGATTGGTTGTTGAAAGACCGGGGCTGGTGAGGTGGCATGAAACTTTTCGATTGCGACGGAGAATTGAAACCACCACTACCACCACCACTACCACTGACTTCCAAAGAACTACCAACACCACCAACATTCATGTCTTCACCATCATTATCTCTATTATTGAACCAGCTACCCGTCGTTATGTCACTTCCGTCTATATAAAATCTACCATTTAAATGTTCGAAAGCCTTGTGTAGACTTCCGGTGTTGACCATAGAGTCCCAAGGCGTCATGGCGGCCCGCGGAGTGTTGATCATGTCTTTCAGACGATTCCGTGGCAGCTCTCCAACACTGTCAGATGCGGAGGTGGGAGCGTGCACTCCCTGTTGCGGCAGTTTCAGCGTGAAATGGGACGGTTTTGTAGGTGATGGTAACTGAGTGGATTTCAATGGGGTGAAGCTTAGAGGTTTCTTGAAAGGATTCAATTCGTGTTTGTACGGTTTGTAGCCCACAGTTGATTGAGGATCGTTCTCCGAGGCCACCCAATTCACTGATTCCTCTTTTCTTTTCGTAAAGAGGTGTCCGCCCTTTCCTTTGTCCTGCTTCAATTCGTTGGCCAGTTTGGCGCAGAGGTCAAATGGAACGACGTTGTGCAGTGATTTCTCCTCCTTCAATCGCATCATTTCAAGTTCTTTGGCTCGGTCAACCCGTGACTTCTGATCGAATGGACCAGTTCCATCGTGGAAGGCTTGAAAAAAAGATGTTCAAAAAACTGCAATCATATAAATGTATTATAATCATTTTTTACGGAATTTTTTAGCAATAGTATTTGTATTGATAACGATGACAGCTATGTTTTAATAACACTTACATCAATTTTTAATTACAATAATTTATGAATTTTTGAAAAATTTATTTATTTATTCAAGGAATTAATATTTAATTTTCAACCGGCATTTCCATTCTCTCGAATGCGTGTTTAATTGGAGGTAAGTTGAAATGGAAAGAGATAAATTATTTATTATAAAATAAAATAACAAATGTTAGTAGTACCCATCGTGTCAAACGTCCGCTCCATCATCTTCTTCTTCATCCTCTCACGTTCGATGGATTCCTTGGCAAGAGGATCAAGGTCGATTATCCAGTTTGTCGATTGTTCCTTCTTCTTCTGAAACATTTTTTGACCTTTGCCGGATTTTCCAGTTTGAGAGGTCAAAAGGTTAGCCACCTTACGAGCCATTTTTATTTGTTCCTCAATTGTCGGGTACTTGTGGGCCGGGTCCTCGTAGAAAGATGAGTCGGAGAAAAGTTTTTCTGTTCAAATTTAAAATGAAATAATTTAATTTACTAAATATAGTAGCCATTGACAAGAAATCAATTCTTCAGTGTCCCTGAAGTTGTGATGAAATGTTGGTCAGCTGTATTGTTCATTTACTTTTAAAATTTGAACATACCGCAATAAGTTATATTTCATCAAATATTAACATAATTTTTAAAATATAATTTGACGAAATGAAAAACGAAAACTAGAAAGTGGAGACTCAAAATAGAATGAAATGAATAATCAACAGGGCAAATTATAAAAACAACTTTTTTCCAGATGAACTTCAACGGGGACGCCAGCAGCCGTAACAACTCCTCTCGTCAGCAGGCCAGCCTCTATCAAATCCTCGTTCACCACAACCCCTGGTGACGGTTCGTCAGTTTTTGTGGCAGTGGGAGGAGTAGGAGGAATGGGAGTCTCCACCACTGGTGGAGGTTGAGGTGGGGGAGGTATTATTTTGATGGGTGGAGGGGACGATTTTTTAAAAACTGGTGGAGGTCTTATCGGTTCAGGGAGGGGTTTGGACGACCAAATGATCACATCCTCCCTCATGTTCACCGGCTTGTGATGCTCCGTTATCGACTGAAGTTTAGGTTTCCAGATGATCGGTGCTGGCGTATCTTCAACTTCTGTTGCAGGCTTGTGAAATCGTTCTTCAAATTTATCCTCATCTTTTTTGACGTAGTGACGTGCGTGTGTAGAGACGTTATGCAGTTCTCTTGCCTGAATTTTCTCGTATTCCGGAACTATGTAAGCCCTGGTAATATGTTTTTTTATTTGTTGTTGTTTTACAGTGTTTGGAGGACCGTAATTTAAACCGAATTCAACTTTTCGATATTTTGAATTTTGATTTCTGTCGTTATTCAAGTAATTATCATTTGCAGGACACCGGTTCCAATATTCGTTATAACATGTGACATCTTCCTTCTTGGAAGAGGTGTTGTAGTTTCGAAATGGTTGTGTATTTGTTTCATAGACGTTGACGTTCTTATTGAAGTCGTAGACGGTGCGATGAGGCGGTGGTGGTGGCGGTTGCGACGGATTGTACCCCTCGGCCACGTCACTGTCAAAATCGTCGTACGCACTTGGCGGAGCGTGGTATATATCCTGCTGGTTCCTGATGAAAATGTATTTTTCCCCTGCTTAGCTTCATCAACACTTCCTTAATTTTCCTACATTTTAGTAACCCACCTTCGAATTTGAATCCTGGCGTTGTTCGTGTTCCTGACGATGTCTTGAGCCGCCTGTGCATCTAAATTTCTACAGGAAATGCCACACACGGAAACGACCTCATCACCAATTTTCAGACCCGCCCTGTGAGCTCTACCCCTTCTGTGAAGCTGATAAAGTTGAACAAAAATTGTGTCGTAAATTTACTTAAATTACTCACTCTTTTGGTAAATGAAACTCTAAAATAGTTGTAACCTTAGAAACAACGATTGTCTGGTTGCCATCACCCTCTAATCTCAAGCCGCACGTACCATCTCCTTCGAGGACCAGGCTTATGTTTTCCATGTTTCAGGAAGCCCGGCTCTATCAGATTAACAGTTTAAAAAACATTTGTCAAATTATTTATTCTCTACTTTGAAATCTTTTAAAGCTTCGTTTGAAAATCTGGTATTATCTACTGGTATATTCTTAACTATCTATTACAAATTTGTATTTTACTATTTCACTACAAATATTTGAAATTAGGCTTTCAAATAAACAGGTGAGGAAATAAATTCTCCGTGCAAATTTTTTTATTTCGGCAATTGTTGTTATAATAAAACAATCTAAAAAGACCAATCAGCGAAAAACCATGAACTGACAATCAATCTACTAACTAACATACTCCAAGATGTGGATGTTTTTTCTCCGTATGCTGGCTTGCAGTTAAACGTGTTCTCTCTTTATATATAATAATTTATATTGGCATTTATATTTTATAACATCATATATAGAAGTAAGTGTAAATGTCTGTTTCTACGTGTATATGTGTGTGTATTATTGTGTATTTTTTCGTGTGTTTGCCTGTTCGTGTAAGTTCGTTTATGTATGTTTGATGTCTAGGCGTTTAACGATAAATATTTCTCTGCTGTTGCTCGTTTCGTATAATGTTCTATAATAAGTTGCTATGTTATATAGTAGAGAATCTCATAATGCATTGGGGTTCTAGATGAATTTTCGTCTAATAATAGCATCTTTAGATTAGTAATTTAATATTTTTATTGCATTTTCCATTTTCTATTCTAGGTGTAATTATTTTTTTAGTTTTGTAGGATGAATGATGGAATATTTTACATTCTTTAGGCCCAATTTTTAAACTATCTGCCAAAATGTAATTTTGTGCATTAAAAAGTATTTATTAAAAAATATTTTTAACATTTAAATGAGCTTTTTGACTTCACAAATTTAATGAGAATCTCTTGTACAACTCAAACGATATTTAAAAAATATTTGTTCTGTGTTATGACATAGCAATTTTTATCAGTTCTCTGAACGATAATTAGTAGCGTTAATTTAGTAAAAATTTAAATTTGTTTTTTAAAATGAGTTTCAGTCCATATTCTTGGAATGGAGGGTAATAAATTGTTATTATATGCTATTTTTAAATTGTAAAATCTAATGCCAAGTTTTAAACTCTTGATCTATTTATAATTTTATATTTTATTTCCTAATAATTTTTAGGACAGTTTTGGCCATTGCAGGGGAAAATTTTACCATCGTTGCTTCTGATACCAGGCTGAGTGAAGGGTTTTCAATACATTCGAGATCAAGTCCCAAAACATACAAATTGTGTGTAATAACTTTTATTTCACATTTTATTTCAGTTTATGATTTTTGCTGTTGATCTGTTCCATAGAATTTAAAAATCCAATTTTAAATTTTACTCACCTTGCCTACTAAATCCAGTCAAATACATTTCATTTTTGATTTCACTTACAATTTAGAACTGATACAACAGTCCTGGCATGCACTGGTTGTCACTGTGACGTTTTGACCCTGACAAAAGTTCTCGAAACCAGACTAAAAGTGAAACTTTTTACTTTTAAAACTATTAATCTTTTAAATTTAAATAAAAAATTTCTTTTTATATTTTAATTTGTTTCATACGATGCCTAATCTTTAGTTTTCGATCAATCGATAGATGTACGAGCATGAGCATCACACAAAGATGTCAGCCAATGCCATCGCTGCCATGCTTTCAACCATTCTGTACTATAAAAGGTTCTTTCCTTACTATGCCTACAACATCATTGGAGGGATCGACGAGGAAGGTACTAGCGAGTCATTTCATAAAACTATTTTAAAAATATAATTTCTGTGCATTAGGTTATAAAAGTAAATTTAGTATTAGAATCACCAATTATAAAAAGTTGACACTAATGGCAGGAAAAGGTTGTGTGTACAGTTATGATCCAGTTGGTTCTTACCAGAGAGATCAGTTCAGAGCAGCAGGTACAGGAGGTCCAATTCTACAACCTCTGCTTGACAACCAGGTGAGTCATTGAAACTCTGCAACTAACATACTGCATATTGTTCACATTTTACTTAGTTTGTAATGATTTATAGTATTACTTAAAAATTTTGATGAACTTAACAAACTTGAACCATTACAGATAGGTTACAAGAACCAGCATGGAGTTGATAAGAAGCCACTATCATTAGAGAAAGCAATTCAATTAGTGAAGGATGTGTTCATATCGGCAGCTGAGAGGGACATATACACTGGAGATGCCCTCCTCATCAACATCATTACTGCTCAGGGTGTCAGGAAGGAGGAGTTTCCTCTCAGACGTGATTGATTGATTGGTTGGTGTGATTGGTTGATCAGTCAGTTGGTTGGTTGACAGATTTATTATTAGTTGGCTTTCCATTGATTCATTGTTTACTTGTTGTGGTTTAACTTGTTTATTTGAATAAGAAGTTTAATAACTTTATAATAATTCCTGTTTGAAACTGTTCTATTGTTTTTTTTATTAATAAAATCAATTCAAATTAAAGGGTATCATCGTGATGGAGATAAAACTTCATCAATAAATAACATGAACAACTTAACATGACATGAACAACTCAACATGACATTAAGTGATCAGAAACTAGTTATTAAATCGACAGCATTTAAAAAACGTCAATGAAAACTTTATACAGACAGAGCCATCACACAATTTAGCAAGTCTTAACAAAATTAAGCTAAATAGAAAAATATTAACACCATAAAAGTATACTTAATTCAAGAATTGGTACGCGCACACAGGTATGCAAGCTTAGTACATGAGTGCACAAATACAAACATACCTACCAATGTATGCACGCACGTACACATATATATACGTACATAACATATGTACACTCGTGTTCATGCGATATCGAACGGCCTCTATCAGTTTTACTTGAATGTAGCAATGATCATATGACTTAAATTAATTGGCGAGTTCATCCAAATACTTACAAACATTTTTACAATTTGCTTAATCTAATCCGCACAAGCAAAACATAGTTATGTCACATAAATAAATTTGCCTCCGATATTGAAAAATTTAAGTGAAAACAATAGCGAGGGGTGCTAGATTAATCAAGAATTATAAGAAAAAAGGATTAAACAAAAACAAACATTGGAGGCAGCATTATGCATTTGATGTTGATGAAGGAAAAGAAAATAGTTTCTTCTCATTGACACATTATAATGTAAGGCCCAGACAGAATATTATATTTACAATTAGTTGTAAATGTTGTTTTCCGATCTAAAAACGAGGAAAAGAAAAAGTGAAAGAGAGAGAGAAGAGAGAGAGAAAGAGGAACATAAGAATATGATGATATTAAATTGCTATCTACAAATTTTACTGTAACATTTTAAAGCATTTGAAGAACAAAATTGTCAATAAAATCTGGGAAAAGCATGCACCAAAACGATTAATTAATTAATTAACTTAAGTATTAGTGAAGCATTCAAACGAAAAAAAAACAAATATTTTGAATTTTTTTGAATATTCAAATAAATACATAAGGTAGTTTAGCAGTTTATTAATAAACTAATGAACATTATTTGATATGTAAACAGCAACAAAAGATTAAAATAGCATACATTAGAGGAGGAACACACTAATCACAATTATAACACACACAAACGCACGCATACACACACATGCATATTTTATACAATTATATAATATAATAATTATACATAAATAATCACAACAAATATAATACAATAGCTTTAAGCTAAAATTTTTTAGAATTGCTGATAAAAAAACGTAATAAAAATAATAAAAACAAGATCTATAAAAATTATTAAAAAAAATTTTCTTTTGAAATCTGTAAATAATTTATATGTACAATCAACAGCTAATCAAATGTAGACCTGTAAAGTTGAAAACAAGATGCAAACAAAAGCATAATAAAAATAATCTTTACATAGAACAAATAAAAACAACAACAAACTGCCCTAGTGCAACAACTGCACGTAAATCATTGGACAACAAACAAATAGGTAGAGATTGTAGCAAGAAAGAGAGAGAGAGAGAGAAAGAGAGAGATGGAAAGAGATGAAGAGAGAGGGAGAGCGAGAAAACCCTACAGAAGTAACAATAAAAAATATCTAAAACTAAAATTATAATTTCTGTGAGGCATGTTAAAAACTCCAGCCATACATATATCTAAAAGGTTTGTAAGTTGTTTGTGTGAATAATAGTGATCATACACATACGCAAGTTTCTTCACAATTATACAGTGGATGTACGTAGTCACGTCACACCTGTTTATGTACGTACATGCACACACACACAATTTTTTGATATACAAATTTTGAGTAATAAATATGCCATTCATACTGTAGATATGAGTGAAAAGTCATTGTCATAATCGTGCTGACCGTCAGACAAATTTCCTCAACAAATAAACAAGAAAACCAGAAGAATATAAAAGTGTGTAGGGACCAGTAAACAGAAAACAACATGATAAGGTAGTAATTTGTTGAATGTATATTATTATTTAAGTATGAATGAATATATGCACGCAAGAAAATCTTTATAGTTACAACAATCTACATTGGAAAACAAAAGACTCCATGAATTGAAAATTAGTGCACCTAAACTGCACTGTTAACTGTAACAAAAAAACACAGCAACAATACATCAACAATGCACCAACAATAATTAACAAAAACAATAGCATCAGCAACGAGTTAATGCAGCACGACATCTCCTTTCAACAATTCATGTAGCAGGCTGTGTTGAGGCACTTTTCCAGAATTCTGAACGTTTGTCAGCATTTCCTTGGCTACGTAGGAGCATCTAGAAAGTTCTGCCAGCTTTGTTACCATGGCACCGACGCGATTATGATTGTTGGGGTGTTTTACTTTTGAGTAAGTCAACAGGGAATCTATTAGGCTGTCTTGGTGCTCAACAATTGCCCTCTCGTTTGACAGGTTGACAATGTCTAGCAAGGATTGTAATTGGTTACAGTTAGTATAAATAAATGTAATGAAACATATCAGCTACATTGAAATATTTTAGCTTCATGCAAAAAGTGTTGAGGGTTATAAAAAAAATTAAATTTATTCATATAAAAATTTTCCCATCAATAAAAGAAAAAAATGTAATTTCTTAACCAAACCCTAAGCAAAATAAAGTGGGCAGAGATAACAAATAAAAAGAAAGAAAGCAGACCAGGTGACATGAGAAGCATGGACTTGAGGGCAGGCATCTCATACTCATCAACCCTCATATCTTCCAGATCCTCCACAATACTCGTCAACCTGCCCATGACCTTTTCCACACCCAACTCCTCTGCCATCTGCGGAGTGAGTGAGTGATGCTTGCTGACTCGTAGGCCTGGTCTGTGGTACATGGAATGGAAGCAACAGTTGAGGAAAAGTAATTCACACCAGTTGTTCTGCAAGAGTAATATCTGGTCGTCTGTCTGTTTGTTGGTGATTTGTTTTTGTGGAATGTTAAATTTGAAAAAAGAACAGTTCAAAAAACGGAGAAAGAAATGGGAAGAAATAAGAGAGAGGTGAGAGAGGAAGAGCAAAACTTCTCAAATGGTTATAATGTTACAAAAATCATTTAAAAATAGTCTCCTGCTATTTCTTATTAAACCAAGGAGATAACTATGAAAACATCGCAAAAAATTTAATCGACAAAAAAATGTTGGAAATGAAATTTAATTGAAAAAAAAGTTGAACTACAGTTATAGATATGAACTCAGGAAGCACCCTGGCCCACTTGACAATCTTGTAAAGGCAGTGATCAGCAAGATGGAGCAGGGAATCAAATTTATCGCTGTCCTCATGGCTTAGTCGAGATTCGCAGCAGTTGACGACACTTTGCTCTTCTCTTTCATCCTCCTCCTTCAGTGTTGCTTCTATAGAATGTAGTGTGTTGAGCAAGCAAGGCACTGCAAATCCAACTCCAACAACGGCAGCAGCTGCTGAAGCAGTTGTCTGCTGCAGCTGTTTGGGATGACTAGCTACGGCGTGTTTGAATAAATTTTTATTTACGTTCAACGATAGTGACGACGGTAGTGACGGTGATGACAATGACGAAGTCCCATAAGGTCGCTTGAGTTTGTGGTGTGGCGTTATGTTGCTGCTGCTGCTGTTTAGGGGCATGACAGGGGACTTGCCATCATAATTGCTTCGTCCCCCTCTTGTTCTGTCGGGTCTGATAGCTGTTTTCATGAAATTATTCATCTTCATTGCTCAATCAACTTACATGAGATTTGCTGAATAATAATACATTAAAACATAAACAAAACATGAAAATTTAATATTATAATGCATAACAAAATGAACATAAAAAGCATAAATTAAATACAAATTAACCAAAATAGCGCAACAACGACCTTCAACTTTCATCCCAACAGCCCGACACTTGTTGTACCGACACGCAGGACATTTCTTTCTGTTGCTAACTTCTACAGCACAACTTGACGACTGCTTGCACGTGAATGTCTTCCCATTCTGTACAGTCCTCTTGAAGAATCCTTTACAACTCTCACAGGAGTATATGCCGTAGTGAAAACCTGGGATCATCCATGGTGGGATAAGTTAATGGGATTTATGGTGCAACAGATGATAAATGCTCATATGATAGTGCAAATCATTTTTCAGCATCATTCATCTGTTCATTCATTCATTCAACAGAACTAATTAAACTAATTTTATAGCATAACTAACGATATCTTAGTATGTTTTCGGATCATGAATATTGGTTAAATCCCAATGTAAAAATATGCCACAACCAATTTACTTCATTTTACTTATTTTACATTTAATTCATTTTCACCGACTTACAAACTGACCCACCTGATATTCTGTCGCCACAAACCGGGCAGGAAGGATCGGTGGAAGGTGAGGAGGATGTCACCACGGCATTGTCATCAAGCACATCACTGTTTTGCTCTTTCGCTGCTAATTGGTACAAAACTTGTCTAGGACTTTGAACTAAGAATGCAAAATTTTGTTGTTGGTCTTGAGTCTGACCACTTAGTTGGTTTAATAATTCGGCTTCATGATTATTTAATGCTATGCAGGTTTTTTGATCTTCTGATAACGAAGCAATCGGTAGAGTTAAGTAATTATTTTTAGTCAAGTTATCTTGATTGATTAGAACAACATTTGCAGATTGACTGGTCAGATCTTGGTTTGGGAAGTTTGTTTGTGGTTCTGTCTTCAGAATGGTGCCAGCCTCAGGGTTGTAAAAATTCTGGACTATGATGAATGTTGAATTGTTCTGTATAAATTTAAAAAAATTTTAAATAGAAACATGTCAGCAAAACTGTAAGAAAAGTTTTTTGAAAAAATAATAGTCCAAGATTTTTCTGGTAAAAATAATAACATAACAATGATTATAATAAGACCTTAGGTTTTTTAATGAATAAATTATATGAAATTATAAACAATTCTTTTATAAGCCTTTCTTTCAATGGCATCAACACACTATATGCATAAGACCATGAATTACACAAATGACATGCAAGTGATCATGTGGATTTGGATCTCCATGCATTCAAACCAAGTCACTAGAATACAAGGCCAGACGTCTTTACCATTACACTCCACCATCTTGCAGCCCGTAATGTCAATGATATATAATACAATACATAATGGATAACTTTCATTTGGCAACATTATTACCATTAATTACTTAACATTTATATTACATTTTTTGCTTAGAATAACTATTTATACCACTACTAAGTATACGAACATATACTTTTTTTAGAACAATTTTTACATAAAAAACCAGCCAGAATCAAAATAAAACCATTCACTTCTACAAAAACAAACTTGGAACATATTTTGCGAGTTGTCAGTGCTTGAAATGGTAGGTAGTTTGTTGTTATTGGGTGATCTAATAAGATGACCAGATGACAATGTTTCTGTGATTGCCTGCAACAAAGCTGGAGATATTCCGACAGCAGTTGTTGACGACATGGTTATTCAGTCATTAGGGAAAGATTAATTAGTGGTGCATTTTATAATGTAGCATTTGAAACGTTCCGGTATTTTAAGTTTTTTTTGCTGGGGATTTGTTTTGTTTGAACAAACGAATAGCATGGGACTTTTTTATTTTACGTAACGTAATTGCCATAAATTTATGAATCTCTGTAACTGATCAAAATCTTTTTATTCGAATTTTTTTTATAAATTTTAAACGCAACAAAAACGCGCAGCTTTTAAGACGGGAAAAACTTTGTAAATTCCAAAAACGAAAAAAATGAAAAACGGCCTTGAAATGTTGGCCTGGCGGAAGCAAACATGCATAGACAATTTAATTATTTTTATATTACACTGACCAAGGGGAGGCCTATTTACCAGCATACAACACTTTCTTATGGGTTAAAGCAGGGATATGCAAAGAACCTCAATTTTTTCAACTTTTAATTATTTTCAGTAATGTCTCCCCTTGCTCCAAACCAAATAACTAGAATAATAGGACTAATCGATCAATTCGATCTATCGGTCGGGCTATTTGTCGTGCTTGGATTGTTGGCTTACGAAATTGCATGGATTTTAACGAGCAAGCTAAATGAAATATTTACTTGATTTAATATGCTAAAAATATTGTAGTAATTCTATTTAATTTTAATAATGATTAATAGAATTATGTATTATTAAATTATTTTTGTTAATTTAAATATAAAAATTGCTTTTGGTCCGGTGAAATCCGGTGGCTTACTGAAGCCGAAGGTTGGCTTAGTAGGATTGAACTATAGTCACCCTTTTTTTTACACTATTCGATCATGTTAAAAATTGGTTTGCTTAAGAAATAAACGGCCTAAATAAATCAAAATTGTTATTTGAACAACTATCCTTATTATATTCAATGAATATTTTACATTCTGCTGGTGCTTATAAGAAACTGGCTGCTGAAATCATACGTTGGCTTACAGCAGTGGCTTACAGGGTTTCATAGAACTCTTACGATAGCACTTTTTTGTACATATAATGATTTAAATAAATCAATATATTCATATCACAATTATTTTTGTCAGTATAAATATAGAAATTGCTTTTGTCAGGTGAAAAACAGTGGCGTACTGAAGCCGTAGGTTGGCTTAATCGGATTTTTTCTCATGTATACAATACTATGAGATAAATCAATCAAACAATCAGTCAGTCGGTCGGTCGGTCAGCCAGCCAGCCACTCAGTCAGTCAATCAATCAACCGATCAATCAATCAACTAAATAGAATGAACCAAATAAACAAAAATAAAAACAAAAATAATAAAAAAAGTTTGCAAGGCCTGTTCAAACTCGAACAAACAGTTAACCATACAGATCTACAAACAATTTCTAGATTTTAGTAAAGAAAGAAAAACACAGTAGTTGCTTTTATTCGAATTCATTCAGAAATGAAAAGTGACGGTTAATTAAAATTTTAAAATATCAATTTTTTTTAAAATTCGTATTTTAAATAAACAAATATAACAAAATATCGACCGATAAAATTAATTATTATCCATTATTATTATTATCATACACACTCCTTAGAAGTTCTCGAAGGATAATAAACCACGTAACATGAACATTTAGTAAGAACATTTCACAACATATCATAATGACTAAATCAACATACTAAACAGAAATAATTTATACATGCATATATACAAAGTAAATCAAGAAATATCCAAAAATTATATAACCAATTTAAAAAAAAACTAGAAACCAGTCAACATTTAATAAATAAATAGACATTATTAAAAAGATTGTTCAAAAAGGTACAATTTAAGGCGACGACGAGAATGAAATGTAGTTTGTTTTGTTGGTGCGGTGTTGTGAAGCGAAAACAAACACATCACACAAAACTAGTAAGAAGTCGCAAGAATAATAGTCAGTCACCTACCTATAATAAAATTACTCTCAGGGCCCTAGCTTACTTATAAACATTGACTCAACTCACTTACCTACAAATTTGTATTTCTGGTTTTAGATGTTTCAAGTATTTTATTTAACATATTTTAGCGTTTTTATTTTACTTGAAGCTTTTTAACTAATGTTAAGCCCTAGCCTACCTATAATTGTTTAACTCATCTCAGTCCCTAACTTACCTATGAATTAAATTAAAGCCCGGTTCACGGTAAAGAAAATAGAAAGTTGAAGAGAAACATAGCAACAACGACACCGAATGAATGGATGTTGTGTATGTATGTGTTGTATTGATGTGTGTGTATGTAAATGTGCGGGCGCGCACTCTCCAGAAACTTCACTCACTACCGACGAACCGACCGTCATCTGACACGCATCGATGGAATGAATTTGACCGGATACTGAAAAATAAATTGAAAAAAAAATTAATTCACTAAAATAAAAAACAAGCAATTGGAAAAAATAGGCAACTTATCTTTTTGAGATAACACTCAATCTTTGTTCAAATTCGAGTACTTTCAAAGGTACAATGAAACAAAAACAAATTTACCTTTAACATTATCTTCGATTTGTCATCGGAACGATCATCATGAGACCACCATCTGAAACGTGCTGACGCCCACCACAGCCCACCTCTCATCATTCTGTAGACAAGTTTTTATTAATTAGCGAAGTAGTAAATGAAGAAACAAAGGAATGAACGAATAAATGATTAACTGAATGATTGAACGATTGGTTGAATGAATAAATTAACTAATTAATTAATCAACCAATGATTTAATGAATGAATAGAATGAATCAATGAATAAATTAACTGAGGAATAATTTGAAAGATAGTGATAAAATAAATGAATGAATGAGAAAAATAAAAAAAAGAAACTAAATCATAGTTCAAAAACCGTCGTTGTTTTTATCTTCGAATTGTCATCGGAACGATCATCATGAGACCACCATCTGAAACGTGCTGATGCCCACCACAGCCCACCTCTCATCATTCTGTAGACATTTTTTTAATAGCGTATTAGTAAATCAAGGAACAAAGGAACGATCGAATAAATGATTAACTGAATGATTGAATAATTGGTTGAATGAATGAGTGAATGAATTAATTAATTAATAAATCAATGATTCAATTAATGAATAGAATGAATTAACGAATCAATTAATAGAAGAATAATTTAAAAGGTTGAGTGATAAAATGAACGAATGAGAAAAATAAAAAACGAAACTAAACCTTACTTCAAAAATCGTCGTTACTGTACTTTCCATTGCACCGACCACCACCATCTGGTCGGCACACAAAATACCATCCGAACTTCAGAGTATCAGTCCAACAGCCAACGAGCTGATTCTTCCTACACCACCATCATCATATGTAAATCATCATGAGACCACCATCTAAAACGTGCTGACTCCCACCACTGCCCACCTCTCATCATTCTGTAAACAAAATTTTTTTATTTGCGTAGTAGTAAATGAATGTTAGAATCTTAGAAGCAAAAAAAATTAAATTATAAAATGAAAATAATGTCAAATAAATAAAATTTTAAAATAATAAAGTAAGTAAAATGTAAAAAAAACTTACCGTCGTCCATTCGACAAAGGCAGAATGTTGAATGCGGTCCGGTTCCTACGTTGTCCTCCAAAACTGGTGCCAGTCC